TATTAATGCAATGAAGCCCCCAAAACCCCAAAACCCCAAAACCCCAAAACCCCATAATAGGATTTTATTGAGTCTATCAAAGTTTTGATTAGAAAAAAGAATTATTAATTTTAATTTATCCTTAAGTTAAACTATATCTCAATTTTATTATGCATAAGCAAGTTTCAAATGCATAATATTCTGAAATTGAGACTTTTGAATCTTTGTAATTCTCATGATCATAAATGAACATCAGCATCTTCACTGATTTTACTTTTATAGTAATTATACTAGAGTGCTTTTGATAAATTGCATATCATCTTAAAGCCCTAGAACTTTTGAGTCAATATTTTTAACTTGAAATTCAAGTCCTTCTACTTTTGAATCAAGTTTTCCATTTAACTACGAAAGTTTTTCATCAATACTGTCATTTTAATTATTATTCTATTGATTTTACTGAATAGCTCCATAAATTTTCTCAATTGATGAATGGAAGTTTTAAATCATCTCACTCTTGGATTTCGCTGCGCTAGTTCTGATTGTGTACTTCAAGTCTTTGATGAAGCCTTGCCATTCTCCAGCATCATTAGAATCATTGTTTGTTGGTCTTCTTACAATGATGAAATTAGGGAACAGTTCTTCTTTAGTAAGGTCTTTGTCAGAAAACAATTGCTCTCTTTCTACGATCATATTTGCTTTTACTTTGTAGGACTCAGCTACTAGCTTCTGCATGACTCTCTCATACGATTCTGAAATCACAGCGATTATGAAATTCATGAACACAATATTCAAGGTCATAACTGCAATTAACCAGATGATCCATGCAAATATAACCACGGTGTCATCTTAGTTCTGATATTCATCCAATTGAAAGTCTCCTGATGAGATTCTGAAGGCCATTAAGAAATATGCCATTTTGTTCACTCCATTATACTCATCAATGGACGCTGCCTTAAAAAGGACTAAGAAGATCATTCCAAACTGCAGAATGAAAATGAGGAAGAAAGAGATGAAGTATTTAAGATCCTTAAACACACCACCCATCATTTAAACCAAGAAACTGAATCCATCGTAAATTCTTAAGAAGTAGAAAAGTTTCATAAATGACAGGACTATCACCAGGATCTTAATCAAGATTAGACTATCTGAGTCTTCATTTGTAAAGTCAATTACGCAAAATGTTACAAATGCAATAATGTGAGTAAAGTCAAAATAATTCCACACATCTCTGAAATAATTAGCCTTTTAGATAGTCAGTTGTTCTACCTCATGTAGAAGGAAGTAAATAAGTACAGCTGAACAAACAACCTTAGCTGATATTTTGATCCATATATTTGGCTCTGAAACTTCAGATGCGTTTACTATTAATTAATTCTCCTCAGTTTCTGCTTTAACTTGTCTCTTGTTGGAATAGGCTGAATAGAAAATGTCAAATATAAAAGTGGCCAAGAATATCAAGTAAATGTAGAATTTTTTCTGATAAACTGTTTTCGTGTATGTGTTCCACTTAAAGTTAATTATATTCTGTATGACCAGATTCTCAAAGTATTCTGGTTTCTCTGTATCACTAAGTTCTTTCATTAATTCTCTTGGATTTCTTGTCAAAGTTTCAGGTAAATTTATCAACTAATATTCTACAGAGACCATAGATTCATCTTCAGAATCTGATTTTGATAATTTCCCTCCAAATAGTTCATCATATTTATCGTGAACCTCTTTTGGATGATCTAAAGTTTTGCCAACTATTATTTCTTGTTCATCATGATGTTAACTTGGATATTGAGGGTTAACAATTTAATACGTTGGAAGAGAACTCTCGAAATATTCCTGCAAGTCTATTTATTGTTTAATCAGTTCACATAAATTTTTATCTATAAGCTTGTTAAACATTATGTGATCCTAGTATTTTATTATTATAGTTAGCATAAGGTTGATTATTTTCTGCTGATGAGCCTTAATGCAAAAATCTAAAGGTGAATCTCCTCCAAGCATTTTCTAGCATATTAGGATAGGTAAGGATTGTTTATCTTTCATTGATATCTATTTTGCAATAGTTTCCAAAGCTACTAAGTTATTCTAGAAAACTCCAAATCCTGTTCCAAATCCAGAAACAAATTTTAAGTATTTTTCTACATTAGATGATATTTCCTTTACAATTTCTTAATTATTCTGGTGAATAACAGAATTATAGTCAATTATTAATTGATCTGTTATGTCAATCTCAAAGTTTCCAACCATCTCAAGCTCATTTTTAATGTAAAGCTAAATTGCACTTGAATCAATAATTATTTTCTAAGCATAATCAAAATAGAAGGCGGGAAAAACTGGTTGAATAAGATATTACTCATTAAACATGTCTTAAAATGAATTAGAAATCATTGTATAAATTCCTGATTCATCACCTTTAGATTTTCTTTTAACCAATGAGTAAGCTTTTTAATTAATGTCCTTCTGATAACAATTAAATGTTTCTAGTTAACTTGATTATTATAGGTATTAGATTTGTATAAATTTATCTACTTTTCTATTTTTAAAGAATAAAATATTCGATACAAAATCACAATTAACTTAGACATAGTTATTTCCCATAAAGATAGATTTATGATCCATTTTACCAGATATTTCTTTAATTCTCTATTTACTATCAAGGCTAAAAATCTTGACTTCATCAGAATAACTTATAACTATTATTCCAAGTTCATCGTCTAATAATGCTAGAATAGGAATATTTGAGCTCTTCACGATATCTAACATATCAATTTTAGTGAAAGCTTAAGTCATTTTATCATAATAGACAATCGTGTTTTTCTCAGATATTTCAAGCACATACTGCTTTTCATTGAATCTGTTTAGCATAATACAGAAAAAGTTGTTAAAATCATAGTATTATTAAGATTTCTATCTAAATTCAGACCATATTACTTTACGATTCCCATTTAAATATATCTAAGAAACATCTTTCCTCTCAAGAATATCTTCTGAATTAATATTTTAAACTTCTTAATATGTATTTTAATCATCGTATTTTTATTTAATAATCTCTTAAAATTCTGGATGATAAAAAATACCTACATTATTTCTCACAAACGAAAAGAAATTATCAGAATTTTCTTTAGAAATGTCTTTAATGAACCCAGAATTAAGGTCTTAAATGTGAAATATATCTTCTGATTTTGAATTGTATGCAATAAAGTTTTCCCAAAAATCTTTTAAATCATTCTTAATTATTTAATTACCTTGTCTTAGGACTGGAATTAAGCAGCCATAATACATGTCATAGTTTGTAATAAATCTAAAATAGCTAATAAAATCCATTTTTGCAGATTTATAGTAAATTCTACTGTTTACTGTATCTATTCCAAAAGTATGATAATTATCACTCATAATATTTTTTATGCAATCTAGCATTTAAAAAGTTCTACAATCAAAAATCAAGAAAGTATAATTCGCTATTTGATCTTTATAGAGTAGTATTATTTTAGTTGGAGAAGTTTCAATCTTATCCATGTTTGTAAAGCTGGCTTTATATAGTTTATGAATTTTTTCAAGGGTTAAAGTGTCAGTATTCAATTGGTATAGGTTAAAGCTCTCATCCATTAGAAAATCATATAAATTGAAATATCTAACAACATAGAGCTTTTTATCAAGTTTTAAAGAAATTTGAAGAGTAGTATCATCAAGGAAACAAGTTTTTGAAAGATCCTTAAAAATGTAGTAATTTCTATGCTTCTCGTTATAACTATAGTCGGATCTAAGCATTTGATATATAGTTTGACCTTGTTTCCCAACTTTAATGAATATCTAATTAGAATTATTAGAAATCTAATTCATATAATCTTGTGAATTAAAGTAGCCGATTTCAAATCTAATTCTAGTATCTGGATTCATTTAATTTAAGGATATGGTATCGAGCTTATATAAAATAAAAAATGGTCCTTTTTAAAGTATGATTGTGAATTCATCAATGATTGAAGCATTATAGAGAGGCTCATAATTATCCATATAAAATTCAATAAGATATTTTTCTTCTTTTTGTTCGAAATCATCAAACTTAATAAGGCGAATACATCCATAGCGCTCTTGATAAAAGATGTAATCAACTCCATTGAAAACCTAATAAATGATTTTATCATCAAGTTATTATTAAAGTTCCATAGACTTTATCGTTTAAAGAGTATTAAGATCTACGAAGTCAAGATATTTAATGGTATAATAGCAACCATCTGTATATTCTGCTAAGATTAAATTTTTATGTGGTAGGACTATGAGTTAATGTATATTAAGATTCAATAGAGGTTTTTCCAATTTGTATGGAATATGTTTGATTCTACTCTCAGGTTTTGAGTAATTAACTTCATTGAACTCATCAAATAACCATTAATAATCCTAGGGTAGACTCTAAATATTCTTTTTTAGGTTCTATACCGTAGAATAATTCACTTATCCTTCGAGAAAAGGCTCTCTGTAATCAGAAGCTTGCATATCTACCATATATTTGTGCTTAAATTTAAATGATATTAGATAGTATTCTATTGAGCTTAATGCTTTAATTTTAAAATAAATCTTCAGAACACATTTAAATCATTTCAATAAAGAAATAGTATGCTATAGTATAATTAAAGATATTACTTTATGTATGTATAAGTCACGAAAATGATTTGCGGGGTTTTGGGGTTTTGGGGTTTTGGGGTTTTGGGG